TTGGGTTTCATTCAAGACAATAACTGATAATCAATGTAATCTACCATATTAAGAAAAAAAAAATTTTTTTTAATCCTCACCTGAGAACATTTTTGCATTTATCTCCAGATAGAGCAGGAGGAAGAAAGGGAAGGACAGAGAGAGAAAGAAACATGGATGTGAGAGAGACACATAGACTGGCTGCCACCCACACGAACCCAACTGGGGCCGGGGTCAAACTGCAACCGAGGTACATGCCCTTAGCAGGAACCGAACACGGGTTTCTCTGGTCCACCGGCTGACGCTCTAACTGCTGAGCCAAACCAGCCAGGGCCATATTAAGAAAATTAAAGGAGAATATATATCTATATGTATATATTTTTATAAAGTATTTGACAAAACAACACCATTTGATGATAAAAACCCTTTTTAAATTAGGAAAAGAATTTCCTTAATCTGATAATGGGCATCTACGAACAGTCTAATCTAGTATTCAACTTAACGGTGAAATATTGAATGCTTGACATTTAAAGTCAGGAAGATGCCAAGGATGCGCCCACTCTCACTACTTGTATTAAACATCTTACTGGTAGTTGAAGCAAGTGCAGTAAAGCAAGAAAAAAGGCATAAATATCAAAAAAAGAAGAGGTGAAACCATCTCTGCAGATGACATGGTTTCTTACACAGAAAAACCTAAGGAATCCACAAAACAACTAGAATAATAATTAAATTTAGCAAGCTGCAGAATACAAGCTCAATATACAAACATCAACTGTATTTTAATAGCAGCAGCAAACAGTTGGAAAATGAAATGAAAATTTCATTTCTAATAGCATCAAAACCATAAAATATTCAGGCATAAATATAAAAAAATATGTGCAAGACCTGTATACTTAAAAAACTACTGCTGTGCCCTGGCCAGTTTGGCTCAGCGGTTAGAGCGTCGGCCTGCGGTCCGCAGAGACCCGGGTTCGGTTCCCGCTAAGGGCACGTACTTCGGTTGCAGTTTGTCCCCGGCCCTGGTTGGTCGTGCGGGTGGCAGCCACTCGATGTGTCCCTTCACGTCGATGTTTCTCTCTCTCTCCCTTCCTCTCTCTCCCTCCCACTCTATCTGTACAAAAAATGAAAAAATGTCCTCGGGTGAGGATAAAAAAAAAAAAAAACAAAAAAAAAAAAAAAAAAAAAAAAAACTACTGCTGAGAGAAATCGAAGAAGACTTAAAAAAATGGAAAGATACAATATGCTCATGAAGACTCATTATCACTAAGATGTCAATTCTCTCCAAATTAATTTACATATTAAATATTACTGTAATCACAATCCCACCTCTTTTTTTTACATTGAAAGTAACAAGATGATTTTATATTTATATGGAGATACTAGGACCTAAAATATGTAAAGCAATCTTGAAAAAGAAGAATCAAGTTGAAAGGATTTACAATAGCTTCTACTTCAAGACTTTCTATAAAGCTACTGTAATCACGACAGTGAATATAGGCATAAAGAAAGGCATATAGAGCCCTGGCCAGTTTGATTCAGCGGTTAGAGCATTGGCCTGTGGACCAATGAGTCGCGGGTTCGATTCCGGTCAAGGGCAGGTACCTCGGTTGCGGTTCGTTCCCCGGCCCTGGTTCAGTTGTGTGGGGGGCAGCCAGTTGATGTGGCTCTATCACATTGATGTTTCTCTCTGTCTCTCTCTCCCTTCCTCTCACTCTATCTAATGATAAATAGAAAAATATCCTCGGGTGAGGAATAAAAATAAAATTATAAAAAAAGAGAAAAGCATATAGATAAATGTAACAGAACAGAAAAATATGAAATATATCTACACTTAAAAGGTCAATTGATTTTGATAAAGGTGACAAAGCAAACCAATGGAGAAAGGGCCTTTTGAACAAATGGTGGTACAACTGGATATCCACGTTAAAAAGATCTTGACTTCTACTTCACACAATATATAGAAATTAGAGATGGATCATCTATAAAATATAAGAGCTAGAACACTAATGCTTCTAGGAGAAAAACATAAGAGAATATCTTCATAATTTGGTGGTAGATAAAGGTCTATTAGGACCAGAACGTAATAACCAAAAAATAAAATGGATAAATTATACTTTATCAAAATAAAAAAAGCTTCTGTTAATCAAAAGACACAATTCAGCTGACTCCGAAGACTCTGTCACAGGGGTGTTCGGAATCAGACGCCGGCTGGCTAAGAAACGGCTCTTATTTGGACTTAAAAAAAAAAAAAAAGATAATTCAGAAAGTAAACAGGCAAGCCACAGGCTAGAAAAAAATTCACAAAATATATATCTGATCTAGGACTTGTATCTAGAATATATCAAGATTTTCCACAATTCAATAATAAGACAATCTAATAAAAATGGGCAAAAGATTTGAACAGACACTTCACCAAAAAAGACTTATGAATACTAACACAAAAGCTGCTCAGCCCTGGCTGGTTTGGCTCAGCGGTTAGAGCATCGACCTGCGGTCCAGAGAGACCCGGGTTCGGTTTCCGCTAAGGGCGTGCACACCAGTTGCAGTTTGTTCCCGGCCCTGGTGGGGCCCTGCGGGAAGTTGCCAGTCGATGTGTCCCTTTCACATTGATGTTTCTCTCTCTCTCTCCTTCCCACTCTATCTGAACAAAAAATGGAAAAATGTCCTCAGGTGAGGATAAAAAAAAAAAAAAAGCAAAAAAAAGCTGCTTAGCTCTGGCTGCTTTGACTCAGGGATTAGAGTATTGGCCTGAGGACTGAAGGGTCAAGGGTTCAATTCCTAGTGAAGGTCACGTACCTTGGTTGCAGGTTCCATCCCCTGCCCTGGTTGAGGCATGTGCGGGAGGCAATCAATCAATGTGTCTCTTTCATATCGATGTCTCTCACATCGATCTCTCTCTCTCTCACTTTCTCCCTTCTTCCCTCTCTTCTACTCTATCTAGAAAATCAATGGAAAAATGTCCTTGGACAAAGATTAAAAAAAACAGAAAGCTGCCCAATAGCAGAAGTCATCAGGAAAACACAAATTAAAAACACAATGAGACACCTTTATATATATTCCAGAATCACTTAAATTAAAAAAGACTGTTTGTTGTTAACCAATTGTTGCACATTGTTGGTGAGAGTGTAAAAAGATACACTGTGAAAAAAAGTTCAACAGTTTTTTATAAAGAAATACTCACCTTCCCCTGGACCCAGCAGTTCACTCCTTAGATATTTAGCCAAGAGAAATGAAAATACATGTCCTCAAAAAGACTAACAGAGGAATGTTTGTAGCAGCTTTATTCAAGATAGCCAATAACTGGAAACAGCCAATGTGTCCAACAGAAGATAAATTGTGGAGTATTCATAAAATGGATTGCTATTTATAAAAAACAAAGTACTGTAGATGCAACAACACAAGGTATCTCACTTTACAAAGAGTGTACGTTGTATAATTCAATTTTTAGGAGGTTCTGGAACAAACAAAATTAAACTATGGTGGAGAAATGCACAGAATTAAGGTTCCCTCTTGGTGAGTGGGGCAGAAGTTAACTGTGAAGGGGCACGAGGGGACTTTAAACAAATATTGAATTTCAGTTAATTTTTATGGTGAAGTATTTAGGAGTCAATGCACTTAGGACTGTAACTTACTTTGCATCAAAAAATAAAAGATTGATAGAGGAATAAATATATGCATAGATATACTATCAGGGAAATATAGCAAACTGTTAATTGAGCCATATATATATCGATATTCTTTGAAAAATTCTTTCAACTTTTCTAAATGTTTGAAGTTTTTCATAATAAAATATTGGGGAAAAATTGTGTTTTCAATTCCTCAGCTCTCTCATACTGCCTGTGCAAACTGAATTCGTATGACGTATGCCAACAGGCAGTGGAGCTATTTTCAGAGCCATAATTTTATCTTTAAAAAAAACCAACATGCCCTGGCCAGTTTTGCTCAGTGGTTAGAGCATCAGCCCACAGATCAAAGAGTCACAGGTTCGATTCCAGTCAAGGGCATGTACCTTGGTTGTGTTTTGTTTCCCGGCCAGTGGATGCCTCTCTCTCTCTCTCTCTCTCTCTCTCTCTCTCTCTCTCTCTCTTTCTCTCTCCCTCCCTCCCCCATCCCTCTCACTCTATCTGAAGATAAAAATGGAAAGTATCCTCAGGTGAGGATTTAAAAAAACACAAAATCAACAAACTTTAATATAAGAAATAAACCAAGCTATTCCTTCTCACCAAATAATGAATTAAAATGCAGAGTGATTTTATTTTTTATCCTCACCCAAGGAAATTTTTGCATTTATCTTCAGATGGAGTGGGAGGGAGAGAGGGAGGAAGAGAGAGAGAAACATCAATGTGAGAGAGACACATTGACTGGCTGCCACCCGCACGACCTCAACTGTGGCCAGGGTCAAACTGCAACCAATGTACATGTCCTTAGCGGGTACCGAACCCGGAACTCTCTGGTCCGCGGGCTGATGCTCTAACTGCCGAGCCAAACCGGCCAGGGCTGCAGAGTGATTTGAGCTTCACATTATATATGTAATGACTCTGGCTCTGATGGAGAAACTTAGAAGTTTCATGCACTGTGCCTCACCTCAGCTTAGATGCCTATTTCCAAGGCTAATCATTTAAAGATATCTTGCCTATAGTTTTTTTTTAATGTAACTCCACCCTACCCCACCCCATTTTTATTAAATTTATTGGGGTGACACTGGTTAGCAAAATTATACAGGTTTCAGGTGCACGATTCCACAACACATCATCTGTACTCTGTATTATGTGTTCACTACCCCAAGTCAAGTCTCCTTCCCTTATGCACCCTATACTGCCTTGACTATAGTCTTTAGCACAAGAACATATATTTGCTGTGCTTGGCCTCTCAAGATGAAACTCAAGGATCACGTGATGTCAACAAAACAAAACACACTGTCAAGAAAAACTCACATATCAGAATTAAGGAGGGATAGTCACTTAGATTACAGACAGATTCAATGTTTATATCTTCAAGAAAAAACTTTTGGGTTTCATTACCTTTATCAAGAGATGCCCCAGCCATATGGTAAAAGCTCAGTGCAGTGTCTACATCATTAATATTCTTTAGGAAAGTAAAGAAGTTCTCCACTTCCTGAAATGTCAGACCCTGAAAGAAGAGAGACAGCAGAGTTAGTCAGGGACCTCTAACAAAAGGCTGCATAAAATGCAGAAAAGTAGGCTGTTCTTCATTCTAGAATTTTACCCTGAGAAAGGCAAGCTGGCTAATTGCTTTCCCCTCACATGTAAAATATGACATAATGCTGTTACAGTGGTGGCTGGATATCTTCAATGAAAATATTTCTAACTGTGTCTTGCAATTAGTCACAACTATCTATTTTGACATTTTCTAAATGAGCTGTAAACACTTGGTCTGTCATACATCCTAACAAGTAAGACCAGAGTCAGGACTTCCATTTAAATAATCTACTCACAGGCTAGCTATGCTTTTGAAGCTTAAGCCAATTAAAGAATCATCGAAGTCAGTGATATATACTGTAAAAGTTTCAGAATATAGCAGAGTTCAAGGACTTGGGACGCTGTTCATTATCTCAATTTAAAAGCTACTGATAAAGCAATTTGCCATTTAATTTTAATCTGATGAAATTCTGTGAATGAAGAAATTCTTTTCAAAAGCTAGTCAAAGGTTTGCTGACCTCAAATTCTACCTTCCATGAAGGCCGGAGAAAGATCAGTTATATAAATAGGGGCTGTAGGGTACTCCCTTGCAGGGAGGTAGATTTGTCCTATTTGCCTATTTCCCACTTCTCACACGTCATGCTGTGATAAAAATGAATACAATTTCTAAGAAGCAAATAACACTGAAGAGACACTGAGATTAATGCCTTTTAATGAAAAATCAGGTCCTTAATGGACTGTTGACAGCTTCCACTTAGTGCTGCTGCTCTTCCAGTTCCCATTCCCCCAAACTACAGAGCCCAGGAGTCCACGATGAGAACTCAGCAATAAGGAAATGGAAGACAGACAATCTGTAGAACTTTCTTGGTATTCTCCAAACTGGGTCAATGGTATCTTTCTTATTTTATCAATCAAACTAAGAGCTAAAGTACTATATGTATAATTACACCACATGATCTTTTTATAGTTCATTCCCCAAGAATCAAAGAACTTAAACCCTTTCTTGTGGAATATGATGACCATATAGAAAGGCACAACCCTGGCCAGTGTGGCTCAGCTGGTTGAGGGTCATCCCATGCACCAAAAGGTCATTGATTGGATTCCCGGTCAGGGCACATGCCTGGGTTTCGAGTTCCATCCCCAGTAGGGGGTGTGCAGGAGGCAGCTAGTCAGTGTTTCTATCTCATTGATATTTCTACCTCTCTCTCCCTTCCTCTCTCTCTCTAAAAATCAATCACACACACACACAGTAAAAGAAATGGATAAAATGTTCAGAAGAAAACATAAAAAATCTTTATGACCTAGGGTGAGGAAAAGATTTCTGAGATATGACACCAAAAGCACAATCCATAAAAGAAAAAAATTGATGTTAGACTTCATCAAAATAAAACTCTCTGTGCTTTAAAACACTGAGAAAACAGACAAATCATAGACAAGAAAATATTTTAAAATCATATATGTCATAAAGAACTAGATCCAGAATTATGTAATGAACTCTTACAACTCAATGAGATGGTAATAATAACCTAATTTAAAAAAGAACTGAATAGACATCTTACCAAAAAAGATATATGAATGTCTAATAAGTACATGAAGTGATGCTCAGAACCATCAGTCATTAGGGAATCACAAAATAAACATAATGAGACACCACCATACACCTATTAGGATGACTGTAATAAAAAAGACAGCAATGTTCTGGCTAGTATGGCTCAATTGTTTGAGTATCATCCCATGTACCAGAGGGTCACTAGTTCAATTCCTAGTCGGGGCATATGCCCAGGCTGTGAGCTCAGTCCCTGGTGGGGGGCATGCAGGAGGCAGTTGATCGATGTTCACATCAATATTTCTCTTTCTCTCTCCCTCTCTCTTAAACACACACACACACGACAGTAACAACTTTTTGTGAGGATGTAGAGAGAATGGAACTCTCCCACACTGTTATGGAAATGAAACAGGGTACAGCTACTTTGAACAACAGTTTGACAATTTTTTTTAAAAAGTTAAAACATAATTGTACCATACAACCCAGCCATTCTACTCTTAGGAATCTCCTTAAGAGAAATAAAAACACAGATTCACATAAAGACTTGTATGCAAATGTTCACAGAAGTATACTTATAATAGCCCTAAATTAGAAACAATTCAAATGTTCATAAACTGGTGAATGGATAAACAAAGTGCAGTACACCCGGCTGGTGTGGCTCAGTGGTTGAGCACCAACCCATGTACCAAGAGGTTGCCGGTTTGATTCCCGGTCAGGGCACATGCCCAAGTTGTGGGCTCGATCCGCAGTGGAGGGGGCTGTACAGGAGGCAGCCAACTGATGTTCTCTCCCATCAATGTTTCTCTCTCTCTCTCTCTCTCTCTCCCTCTTTCTCTAAAATCCATAAAGAAAAAAAAAATAAACATAAAAAAACAACAACAAAAAAACCACCAGCCCTGGCTGGTTTGGCTCAGCGTTAGAGCATTGGCCTGCGGTCCAGAGAGACCTGGGTTCGGTTCCTGCTAAGGGCATGTATCTCGGTTGCAGTTTGTCCTCAGCCCTGGTTGGGTTGTGCGGGTGGCAGCCACTCGATGTGTACCTTTCACGTTGATGTTTCTCTTTCTCTCTTCCTCTCTCTCCCTCCCACTCTATCTGAACAAAAAATGAAAAAAAAAAAGTCCTTGGGTGAGGATAAAATAACAAAAACAAAAACAAAATCAAAATGCAGTACACTCACACACATACACACAATGGAATACTACTTACTACTATTCAGCAATAAAAAGTAATAAACTATTAATATAAACAACAATGTGGATAAACCTAAAAAAATATAAATACAAGAAGCCAGACACAAAAGACTACATTATTATATGAATGCATTCAAATGAACTATCCAGAAAAGTCAAATCTATAGAGACAGAAAGAAGACTTACGGTTGTTAGTGGCTAGGGTGGAAATAGGAATTGACTACAAATTGGCATGAGAGATCTTTTTTGGGTGATGGGAATGTTCTAAAACTAGGTTGCAGTGACATTTGGATAAATCTGTAAATTTACTAAAAATCATTGAATTGTACACTTAAAATGGGTGAATTTTGTGGTATATAAGTTGTACCTCAGTAAAGCTGTTAAAGAAATATAAAACAGTTGTAATAGGTAAGAAGATGGGTAAGGAAAATGTGGCTTCCTCTAGAGTCAGCTCTAAAGCCAGATATTTAGTGCTGACAGGCCATGGATGAGTGCAAATACTGTAAGGGATGATGGACTCCCTTGCCTTGTCTTTTAACTGGTCATAGCAAATCCATCTGCCTGGAATGAATCTATCACCTGAGTTTTTCAAGGGCTACGCTAGCAATATTTCTAGAATCTGATAGCCATGATGACCACAATGTGGTTCAACTCTCAAACATCTGCAAGAATAAGTGAATAGGAGAGCCCTCATGAATACTGTCCACAGCATGAAATCAATAATTTAATAGCTTTATTACAACTGTTTATAAATAATAACCCTGCTTAATGGCTAGCAGCAGTATTAATAAGCAATGATAATATACACAGAAGACTACTGGGGATAGTTCTATAACAGGACACACGTAGCAAAAGCAAAAACCTTTATAACCTCTGCTTCCCAAAATCCTACTCTGCCTATAAGGCCAAGTTCAAATAGTACCTCCTCCAAGAATTCTTACTCTCTTTCTCATTGGTGCCTCCAAAAGAACTCAAATCTTTATTGAGGTACTTAACACACTGATCAATGCATTTCACAAACATTTGCCTATGAGATACTCACTAGTATCTCAAGATACTGTTCTCAAGAGACTCAAAATTGAGTGAGTTGCCTTGTATTATAATTATTTATTGTCTGTCTCTCTTCACCAGGAATGTTAAGTTCTATGAGGGCAGAGACTTGGTTTGCCTCATTACTGTATCTCCCATAATTTATTAAATTTTTTTTCTTCCTTATTGATTTTTAGAGAGAGGATGGGAGAGGGAGAGAGAGAAACATCGATGAAAGAGAACATCAACTGGCTGCCTCCTGCATGCCCCCGACTGGGGATTTGGTCCACAACTTGGGCATGTGCCTTGACCGGGAATTGAACCAGCGACCTCTTGGTGCATGGGTCGACGCTCAACCACTGAGCCACACCAGCCGACTGTATTCCCAATATTTAGAAGAATGCTTGGCACACAGTGGTGCTCAACAAATACTGAATATGAAATTATGTAGTTCTTTGTATATGTAGTTTTTCTTACTAGACTATTACAGACTATATATTTCTTGAGACAGGTGATGGTTTTGCTCATCTTTTATATTTCTCACAGCATCTGGTTTAGTGTCTTGCACATAGCAATGTCTGCCATTGAACTAAACGGTGATTTTCAATTCATCCTTAAGTGGACTTGTGAAATTATTAAAGTATGCAGCTTCTGTACTCTTGAACACAGAAAACCACTACCATGAGTTAAATTTATAAAGTTGCAGCCCTGGCTGGTTTGGCTCAGTGGTTAGAGTGTTGGCCTGTGGTCCAGAGAGACCTGGGTTCGGTTCCCGCAAAGGGCTTGTACCTTGGTTGCAGTTTGTCCCCAGCCCTGGTTGGGTCAGGGCCGTGCGGGAGGCAGCCACTCGATGTGTCCCTTTCACGTTGATGTTTCTCTCTCTCTCCCTCTTCCTCTCTCTCCCTCCCACTCTATCTGAACAAAAAATGGAAAAATGTCCTTGGGTGAGGATAGAAAAATAAGGAAATTTTAGAGCTGAGTCAGATTTGGCCTAAAAGAATTCATAGGAAAAAGAATATTCAGGGGAATAGGGAAAATCTAGTAGAGGATAGGGATTAACCTTCAAAATAAACCCCAAATAAAACGTTCTCCCATTAAAAAAAAAAGAAAACTGTTAAATAAGAAACATCGTGGTTACTCGGTATGAACACAGTAGCTTTCCCAGGAACGGCAGGCCCCCAGTCCTTCTGGCTATTACTCAGGGAC